TATACATCAAAAAAACAATGTACGGTTTTAACGTTATTAGTTATCTTAGCGACGAGGTCATTGCAATGCCATCTTTATGATTAAAGCAACAAAATATGGGTTTATAACGACGATAATTTTCTGCCAAAATTTTGAGGACAAAAAAGGACAACATGTCATCAGTATAGTCTTCTAAATTTTGGGAGGCAATTGGCCGACTAGCCTAATATGATTGAGAAAATAAAAGAAAGCAACAAGATCTCATATCTATAGGTCTTTTATATATATATATATATATATATATATATATATATATATATATATATATATATATATATATACGAGGCTGGTTCAAATACTAACCAAAACTATTGTGCAAACTATGTTAACCCGATCTTGATCGTTCATTTTCTCATCGAACGGTCTTTATTAAATGAGACTGTAAAAATAATCATTTAATTAATATATTAATTGAGATGCCTATGAACAACGGTTCAGAGGGTACTTTTGTAAACACATCGCATGAACACGGTGAACATTTATATGAACACGGTGAACATTTATATGAACACGGTGAATATTCATGGACATTACATGGATATGAACACCATGAACACCGTGAACATCGGAATTACCTCATGATCAATTAGAGGGATCTTAAAAGATTTGTAACTCCCAAATAATTATTAGGGAGTTACATAAAGGTCAAATTACAAAATGACCCTTGTATTCAATTTATAACTTACATTTGAACATAAAGTAAAGAAAAAATGTGATTGGTTGATATTGGTTAGTAGAGTTAACACAAAAAAATGAGTTAGTATTTGAATCACCCTATATATATATATATATATATATATATATATATATACATATACACATAGATATACTTCTCGTTTGAACATGATACTAGATTGGTTACCTTCACATTATTTTGCTATATATGAAGTGTCAAATGTAAAAAAGTGGCTCATGGGTCACACGAAAACAACTTGTTCTCATGTGAAGGCAACCCCTTAACACTCTATCACAATATATCTAGACTTGGGATCATGCAAGACCATCTGTTTTCACGAGACCCGTGAGACCATTTTTTTATACTTGAAATTTCACAACAAAATACAGTGAATGTAACCTTCACAGTGTTTTTGCTGTGAAGGTTCAATTTTTTTTACCTTTACAATGTTTTACTATGAAGTTTCAAGTATAAAAATATGATATCACATGTCTCGTTAAAATAGGATGGTCTCATGTGAACTCAATAATATATATACACACACCTAATATTAGGAGTTTAATCATTTAAGAAATTCATAAATTGTAAGATCCGTGAAATTTAATATAAACCATTCATTTTAAATAAATTGTTTTATAATTTATTTAATGATAAGAGGTGATTTAGTAATTTTATAAGGAAACAACTTAATATATTTAATATAGTCAACTATCTCTCTCCTCCTGCAAACCCTAATCACAGCATTTTTTCTACCCAGATTCCTGACCACTTTTGGGTACCACAGATTCAGCGACAACTTCAGTCGATCACCATAACACAGATCCGACGACCATCCTCCAGTCCCATACCAAAGATCCGATGACCACCCTCCAAACTAAGGGTTACACCACAGATCGACGACCACCCTTCGGTCACCACACCATAGATTCGACGATCACCTCCAGTTACCATAGATCCAACGACCACACCATTATTAAGGTTCGTTAATGATCTTGAAACTTACATTTTGGTTGCTTATATACGATCTCTTACACCCCCTTCTTCCAGTTTACGTTTCAGGTCGGTGACACCCGTGGATAACGAGGAATACCGGATGACCGGTGCTGCAAGTTCAGATCTATCAATTTCCTGTCAAGGACCCAGATTCATCTATTTGAAGTAGATTGGAAGAAGCAAACATTGTTTCGTGACGACGTTATTGTGCCAATATGCACATTGTCATCCCATCACAAAACCACCGTTTATAGAGTGTGCACGCTGTGCCCAAAGTGTGGTGTGCAGACTGTTTTCACAGTATATACCACAGGGCTGTACAAGAAATTGTTTTGGCAATGGCGTTGACATTGTGATCGCAATATTTGTATATCTAGGGTTGTACAAAAATGGTTTACAGTGGTGTTTACATTGTGCTTACATTATTTGTATATCTAGGGTTGTAACAGGAATAGGTGGTGGTGGTGATGGTGGTGGTGGAATGTCTTGATGACAAAGGTGAGGTGAGAGGAAAGAGAGAGGAGAGATGAGATTTTATAAAGGGAAAAGTACAATAAAAACCAATGGACTTTCTTGTTTGGAATGATTAAGTCTTTAGACTTTTTTTTGGAACAAATAAGTCCTTGGACATTCCAAAACATGTTAAATAAGTCYTTGGACAATTTTTTGGAACAAATAAGTCCTTGGACATTCCAAAACATGTTAAATAAGTCATTGGACAATTTTTTGAAACAAATAAGTCATTGGACATTTCAAAATATGTTAAATAAGTCCTTGGACAATTTTTGAAATAAATAAGTCATTGGACAATTTTTGGAATAAATAAGTCCTTGGACATTCCAAAAAATGTTAAATAACTCTTTGGACAATTTTTGGAACAAATAAGTCATTGAACAATCNAATATCCTTGTATTAAGATTTTAATTTAAAATTACCAAATTTATAAATTTCCTAATTTATCTATTGATTTGTGGTTAATATTGGTTCTCACAGTTACCACAAACAACTCAGTTCTCCCTTGAATAGGCCCCTATATATATATATATATAGAGAGAGAGAGAGAGAGAGAGAGACTACGATCAAATACAAACCGCTTCTTTTTATACAAATCCTATAAATCAATTTCATCCATTCATTTTTATGATTAAAAGCCATTATTAAAAGAAGTTATTTTGATAGAGTGAAAAAATAAAAATAAAAATTGTTATTATTTTATCCAAGAAAGGACAAAACTGGATATCAACATTAATAAACAAAATAATAGCTTTAAAATCTATATATACGATTTTTTTTTTATTAGAATGGCTTTAACAAAAAAAATGTTAGGAAAATATGGGAAATCATATATTCAACAAAAACTTTCTTTATTTTATAAGTAAATATTAGAATTAAATGAATTCCATATTAAAAATAAAGTTACCTATAAACAATAAAAAGAGAGATATTTTAATAAATCATGAAACATAAAAAAATATTCTTTAATCAAACGATAAAGAATAAAACGTTTTCAAAACTGAATGAAACGTTTTGAAAACTGAATAACATAATTTCATTAGCGAAATTGGTTTCATTAGTGAAATTGATTTCATGAATGAAACATTTTGAAAATTGGATGAAATTATTTAATTAGTGAGATTTGGTTTCATGTTTCCTAACCAAGATGAAGTTGGTCTCATGGTTTCTAACCAAAATGAAATTGAGTTTATTAATGAAACTAAATATGATTCAATCAATGAAATATTTTGAAAACTGAATAATATAATTTCCTTAATGAAATTAGTTTCAAGGTTTCTAACCAAAATGAAATTAGTTTCATGAATGAAACATTTTGAAAACTAGATAACATGATTTCATTAATAAAATTTGTAAGGAAATCAATTTATTCATAAATTTTACAAATGAAACAAAACAATATACTCAAAATCTGGAAAATATCACAACTATATTATTATTAAATCTGGAAAAAATTGAAAATTGACAAAAATACCTATTTCTTTTGTTATTATGAAAATGGAATAAATAAATTGTTAAGAAAAAGATGATTATATATAAACTTTGAAATTGATGGATTTTTATTTAATAAAATAATACAAAATATTAATGCTGGTAAGTATCTATTAAAAACAAATTGATTGATCGTTTCCTAAAAAACCTTCTAATCTGTATAATCTTCCAAATTTAGACACAATTAAAATATTATCAAAACTATCTACTATAAAGTTAAAGGACAATCATACCCTTATGCATTAAAAATAAAAATAAAAATAGAATTATGTTATTGGTTGATGCTAGTTTATATGAAATAGATGGTTTGCAAAGTAAACTATATATTAAATATTTTAGTGATATATAAAACGAATTTGACAAAAACTTTTGCAACTTATAAAGATGACATGTTATCGCTATAGGTTGATTGGTTTTTTTAGTGAACCGAAACAATATGGTTTGGTTAGGGTATTATAATCACTTTCTTCTACCACAAATCTCTGCATCTTCAGGCCTTTAGCCCTAAAATTCATCGACTCTCCTCGCGTCTTGATCGTTACCTCTCCATCGTCAATCTCTACATCTCTCACCTTGATCTCTTCCTCGAATTCAGGTTAGCTTCTGTAACACCCCATTTCACATTTGTATATTGCCCACATATTTCTTATAACATGAAATTCAAATATTTACACATTGGTCACAACTTACTACATTACAAAAGTAGCTACAAACTTTTTCCATACACACACAGTACAAGAGTTGTAAACATAACAAGTTTTCAAGTAAAAGTAATAACATCTTTCAAAAATCCACACATATAATGCAATATAAGTATTATCATATATTAAAATTTATTCATATAATAACATGTATTATTTGATATTTTATATTTTTCATTTAGTTTATCAGTTACTTTTAGTCAAATGTAATTAGTTTATTAGCTAGTTGATCAACATTGAGCTAACAACTAGCTTACCAAACATATCCTTATACTAATAACGAGGTTATTATAACTTTTTTTTTATTAGAATCGATTTGGTTAAAAAGTTGTGTGTTTTGTAACGCAAGAAACTTTTGCATTTTTGGACGAAATCGTATTGCTGACAAGACTTATACCAATAACATCATTGTTATAACGTATTTATTATTGCATTAGGTGACTAGGCGAAGAATCGTGTGAGAAATGAAGTTATAATGAGAAGCGTAAGAAGAGAATATTAATACATAAAATAATATAAATTTTTACTTGGATCATAATACGAGTAACGAAAATCTAAGGTAAATAAGAAAAAAGAGGTAAAGTGGTCAAGAAAAACACAGATGAATTTAAGATCACGAGATCAATCCTTTTTCACGAAAGAAATAAGCAGATTAATATATATTGATCTTGTTTTGGACAAGCAACCATCGACGATCTTAGCATATCTCATAAACAACTCATCCATCCTTTCATGTCTGAGATGAAAATGACTCTCCATCATCGGCTCCACCACGGCTCGAATGATTTTAGACACTCGAGTGCCTCTTGACTCCTTGAGATCACTTGTGTCACCACCATCCCATTCTATCTCAAAAGCTTCAACACAATCGACTGCAAATGATCCTTCTTTCTCGGCCTCATACTGTACTTCTTCTAAGCTTGGTGCGTAATAAGGGGCGTTAAACGAATCAATGCTTTCCTTTTCCACAAGTCCCTACAACAACATATATATCGTTTGTTCATTAGACTTTTTCATGACAAAACCCCACTTTCTCGCATTACAACAAAATGATTCCTTTAGAGTCCGTTTGGTTTGCGGGATTTGAAATTGAATTCCATTTAAATCGCAACATTTGGTTTAATGGAAAGTCCGAAATTTAAATCTTGAGATTTCAATGAAATCCTACAAACATGCCAATGAGGGTAGTTGGTATTTCATGGGATTTCGTATGATTTATTTGTAATAATTTTTCAAAGTTAGTTAAAACATTTGTTTCATAATAATCATTAATAAAAAGGCAATTTAATTGTTTTTACAAATTATCTATAAAAAATGGAATTCAATTCCATTTAAAATTCTACAAACCAAAAACACAAATATTTCAAATCCTTCCACGAAATCTAAATCCCTCAAAAACATTTTGTCAAACCAAACACCCCTTTAGGACGCGTCACAGTAATTAGATGTCCTAATTTAATATTTTATTTACAAAGTCAGGTTGAGAGAGAGAGAGAGAGGGAGAGAGAGAGAGAGAATTGTACACACATCTAAAGCCATGCTCATTAGAGCACGAGCCAAAAGCTCCCATTGATAGCAAGCTTCATCTGCTCGTGGGTCAGGGGACCGTCGACCCATGAATGATAGAACCATACGTCCCTTAGCAACCATTTCCTTAGCACGTGACCTCAAAAACAAGGAGAAATCCTCATGGAACTGTTGTTGGTATGCTTCCACTACGCTTGTGGAGCTACTCTTTGATATGTATACCTTCTCTTTGTTCAAATGGGTTCCAGCACAGGGTTCCAAACCCGATGGAACCTATTCATATGTCGCAAGATGTATCAACTTAGTTTTGCCAAATAAAATAACATTACTGATGTAGGGAAAGTTCATTTCGAAACAGTAAATATTTTTTAGAACCAATTATTCATGATTAATATCCCTAAATATTCAAGCATGAGTAATAGTATTATTGCTTATGAATATCATGCATTTCCATTATTCATGAATAACTATCGCGATGTTTCATCGTTAATAATTCATGAATAGTTGGTTTGATCGGTTCTCAAATGAATATATGCCCCTATCAATATATTTAATCATATTAAAGTATGTAAATTTACCTGAGAGAGCCAGTGGAGGCTGGAAGAAGAATGGACGAAGTGAAGGCTATGGGAGGGAAACAATCTGCCATAAAAGGAACCTGGCAAACCCCAAATGTAACAGTTACCTTCAATGCCACAATCAAGCTTTAGTTTCTTGTAAAGCTCTGGCAGTGATTGAAACACATAGTTGAAATCGTTGCCAGGCAGGTCGTTCAAGGAGATCCTTAGTTCAGGCATGGGCCGACCCATCCGATCACTAGCAGCTTGCACCATATGCACAATCTTAGAGATGACGGTCAAGGAGTTGGGTCCAGATGAGCAACCGAGGTCGGCTACCCCCATACTCCCAGGCTTGACCTCCCATAAAATGTTCGCAATGGCAGATTCCAACATTGAACTACCAACTAATATGATCTTTTTCTGCGATTGTGTAAATTTCATGATATAAGTAAACAAAATGATGAAAATAATTATCTAAAACGAGTGGTTTTAGGGAATCTAGTTACCTGAATCAGGGAGTTTTTGGCATAGCTAGTCTCCCCTTCTCCTTTGTTCATGTGAAGAACTTGCATGATTTAATTAAAGGTCTGTCTATTAAGAATAAAGCTTAATTTGATGAAAGTGTATGATGGAATCATGGGTACATATAGGCCAAGAGACTTGGGAATATGTGGTGTTCATTTGTTACCATTTTGTATCCTTAAATGGACCCAACATGTTTTTTTTACACCATTTTGTATCCTTAAATGAATCCATCATGTATTTTTTTACATTTTTATTTTCTGTTTTGTCCATTATTGTAATGTAATCATCTACTTATTCTTTTTTCGTGTTAGTTTTTAATAATATTTTGTGTATAAAAAGAAAAAGAGGTTCAAAGAAAAATACGATTAAAATAAGAAAACACAAGAATGATCAAATCATATTTACTTTTACACTGATATCACATACGATTATGTAATACGGTTGACATGAGGGTGTGTCAGCGACTTGGCTCGAGACCTAGGTCATGGCCAAAGTTGTTTCTTAATTACATGTGATTTCAATGTAAACTTTCATGTGATTTTGTCATTTCATGTTCTCTTAATTTAACATTGACATTGTTTCCGCCTTTCTGTTTGTATTGAACTCTCTCTCTCTCTCTCTCTCTCTCTCTCTATATATATATATATATATATATAATGAGGGAAGGGATAAATGCAAACCAAGCTATTTGTACAAACAATGAAAACTGTCGATTTCATTGTTTATTTTAGTGAAACATTTTTCATGAAATTGGTAAGTATGATTAATTCATTTCATGATGAAAATATTTCATATATTTTTGTTTTTATGTAAAAATTAAATTGTTTCATGTATTTCTTATTTTGATTAAATTTGTTATTAAAATTTATATAATGAAGATGATAATGTCTATAATTATTTGAAACAATTTTATCGTATTAAACAATTTCATGAAAAAATTTCACTAAAACAAACAATAAAATCAACGGGTTTCACGTTTTGTATAAATGGTTTGTTTTGTAAAATATCCCTCCCCTATATATATATATATATATATATATATATATATATATATACACACACACATATATATGAGCAATCAAGTGCAAACCATTTATATTTGTACAAGCCGTGCAAACCACCATTATTCGTCGATTTTATTGTTTAATTTAATGATTTTGTTTAATGAAATTATTTAATATTATAAAATTGTTTCATATAATACTTATACAATTTTAATGAAATTGTTTCATTTTTTCTTGAAGATGATAATATACATGATTAACACTCTCCACAATAAAAATGATTAATCAATCTATCATAATTATAAAAAAAAAATAAAAAAAAGAAACAATTATTATTAATTAAATAAGATTTGTACGATTTATACAAATAACATAATTTGAAAAATAATTAATCAATCTTTCATTTAAAAAAAAGTTATACCATTTCCACTCAAACGAGAGTTTATGACGTGTAAGTGGAATACGTACTCACGTTTTTTGAAAAGACATAACCATTCATGATTTGTAAAACAAAAATAAGAAACACGAAACGCTTTAATTTCTATATTTTTGTGGTGGCCGTGGCCCTACTACTTTAATAATTACTAAATTATTAAATTAAATATTGAAAACTATTATAATTTGTTTAGAGTTGTCGGTGACCTGGTAAGCGTTTACCCGGATAAGCGATTGGTAAACGGCCCCTTATTATTGTAAGAACGTTTCAGATATTTTGATATTGAATTTATTTGTACTTATTTACTGTTGTTATTTGAAAGTTATTGTATATAATATCACAAAACAAACCCATATAAATTCAAAAAAGATAATTACCCATAATATACCTTAATTGACCTATAAATACTTGTTTATTATCAATATCTTGTTTATATCAACACCATAAAATTGGTAGAAATTATAGTTGTAAAAACAATATTTATATATCTATAATCTGTATGTTTATAACTTTATTTTTATCCATGTAAAAGCAATAACTATGGATAATCTGATGACAACTTCTAAGCATTATAAATCATTTTTTCTGCACATTATTGTTTACATCTCATATTGAATCAAAGAATGAAAGAGACATGTGGGAGGTGGATACAAAAAAAAAAGGGTTAACTTTTTTCTCAATATTGCTTGCATCCCGCTTTGGAAGATGGAATAAAAGTGGCAAGAGAAAGATTGCTACAAAAGAAAGGGCTAAAAATGGAATAAACATACTTTTCTTGGATCTCGACCTTTTGCTTAAGATCAAATATAGTACATGTTTTTAGTTTACATATCTGTGATGAATCTTAGGTTTTTTGTTTAGACCAAATATATTATATGTTCTTAGTTTGATATCTAACATATGATTTTGCAGCTTACTAGGTATTTTATTTTTTATATGGGAATGTCTACCCATTATACTACTTGGTGATGTAGTTATTTATCTGTCGTGTTGGTGTTACTACTATCAAGGCTTGACGTACCTCTCTAATTTATAATTCAAATATTATAGAATGTTACGGTAAAATGTTGTATTTGTTTTTGTCAGTTTAATATATGATATGTGGGTCATCGACCCCACTGGATATTAATTTTATTGTTTTACGAGGGAACATCCATTATCTTAGTTTGGTGATGTGGTTCTTCATGCATAGTCTTGAACTTCCACTACTGTTGTTACAGCTTACGCACCGCTCAAATTTTCACTAATATTATAGAATGTTTTTTTTTTCATAACTTCAAATGAGATTTCAATTAAATTTGTTATAAAAATTAAAATCGTGATTTTGTCATCTTAGATGAGATTTCAATTAAAACTGTGATTTCAATTAAAACTGTGATTTCAATCTAAATAAACTACTAACATTAATCAAACATTTGTAGAGTACATTGCACGAGTATAGTTAGAGAACTTAAATTAGCATATGGTTCTAAGATTGTTGTCAACTTCTTTTAAAAACTTTTAATGTTAATGAGTAGTTACCGCACGTATTTTCCTAAAACTTGTTTAGAACAGAACTTCCAATTTTAGTTTATAACATTACTTTTGAACATGACATTATAGCCACCGCACATATACACACACACACACACATGAGATTTTTTTGGAAAATCCATAAAATTATGATAAACTTGAGACTAATGCATCATGTGTTATTTTATATGAATTTTTTTATTTATAACTAGAATTTAATGTAGTGGTTAACATATATTTGTTTCACATGTACTCGAGTCATAATTGAACTGAATACAAATGAAACAAACACATTTTGAAATAAATATATGTTAATCAATACATCAAATATTACACTTATGAAAAAAAAATTATGTGAATCATAATTTTAAGGTAAAAGTTCTCACGAATCTCATAAATTTTAAAGTTCTCAAATGATCAAGCTCATATATATGTATATATATATATATATATATATATAGAGAGAGAGAGAGAGAGAGAGAGAGGGAGAGAGATTGTGACGTTCATACAAGAACAATAATTAAATAAGAGAAAATAAAAATGGTAAAATTACATGTGATTTTAAATACAAAACATGTTGTTGTTACAAGCTCTACGAACCAAATCTTTGTCTTTAATTTTTGAAATCTAGAGAAGGTTATCAAATCAATTAAAAACATAATTAAAGTAAATTTAAGAATTGATGTAATCCACAACCCTCAATCATATAACGAAGAGACAAGATTAATTTGTAAGATTTGTAAAAATATTTGTCGTTTTATCTCTGCCTATATATTTAATTTAAAAAAAGTTGTCAATATTATTTAGGTGACGTTTGTTTTTTAAGAGGTGCTGAAGTTTGAAGTCTTAGTTTACTTCTTATTAATAAGATATGGTGTTAAAGTTTGAAATCTGAATCAATAAGACTGTTTGTTTTTATAAACTGACAAACGTCTGAAGTTTAAAATTTTAATCAATAGTTTGTTTTTGTAAAAGCAGGTGCAGACATTTTATATAAATTCTCTTGATTTTCATAAAATTTTCATTGCTGAAATTCATCTCAACAATTGGAAAGTTACAGATGGAACATAGTAAGAATTTGGATATCTTTCAAAAGTATTGATCTTTCCGCAAACAAACTCACTTACGGCATTATATATAATATATATATAGAGGGATGTTAATCTACACCCTTAGACATTCCTACACCCTATACAACCTTCATCTCAACCATTCAATTTTTAATCAATTAATTGTTTCCTAATATAAAGTATTAATCATAATTAATAAACTCTATTCATATTCCATAAATATTCAAAACATAATAAATGAACTCCAATCATTTCTATAAATATCTCAATTAATTGGGTTGCAAAGGTTGTACAAATGCACAAGGTTGTAAAAGAAATATACCCTATATATATATATATATATATGTATGTATATATACAAGGTTGGATTCACGTGAGACCAAGAGTGAGACCCGTAAGACCAGTTTATGTTAATTGATCAACTTTATAAACTAATGATCTAATGGTTTAAAGTTGCACGGTGGCAATTTTGTGATTATCGAGAAGGCTCGTGGCGTTTATGAATGTTCAGATTATCAAATTGTAGATTTAATCCAATGGTTGAGAATTGGTCTTACGGGTTTCACGAAAAATCATTGTTTTCACACGATCTCAAGTCTATATATATATATATATATATANAGAGAGAGAGAGAGAGAGAGAGAGAGAGAAAGAGAGAAGGTGGGACATGCATTTCACATGGGTGATGAAAGGACGGTGACATCACTGGCAACGAAAAAAGCAATAGTCAAAAAGAATTAAGAAAATAATAAATAAAATGAATTAAGATATTAGTTTAACTCTTATTTATTTAGATTTTATTAAATAATAAGAGACTTTTATAATAAAAAAACAAAAAGTCTAAATTACAAAACATACGAATAAAATTAAACATAGATAATAATTAAAATTTAAAAATGAGAAAACAAACAACAACTTAAATCGATTAAAAGGTCATCCTTCTTTACTTCATAACGTTGTCAACGATATTTGACATGACGATCCCATAATTAAGGACCACACATGTTTCTTATATGTGGTCCCTT